AGGGAGAAACAGATAATGGCCACACCCTGACGTTATCAGGTTTCCCTTCAACTTCTGTGAAACATGTAAATCCAAATGTTTTAATACAACATACAGGTTTTTGTATTTGTATTTATTATAGATCCCAATTAGTTCCTGCCAAGGCAGCAGCTACTCTTCCTGGGTCCAGCAATTTTAAGGCAATTTACATACAGTTAAAACATTACACTTCCCAACACATTACTACACTTTACTACAACATATTTACAATACAAAATCCAAAATGTGTGTGTGTGTGTGTGGGTCTGTGCCTGTGATGTGTCTCTTCACAGTCTACGTTGTGCCATAAGTTGTAGTTTTATCTGTTTTTAAAAATCTGACTTTAATGCCTGTCTGAGTTACTTGATGTGGAATAATGTTCCATGTAGTCATGGCTCTATGTAGTACTGTGTTCTGGCCTAAGGGACTGTGAAGAGACCTCTGGTGGCATGTCTTGTGGGGTATGCATGGGTGACTGAGCTGTGTGCTAGCCGTTTAAACAGACAGCTCGGTGCTTTCAACATGTCAATACCTCTCACAAATACAAGCAGTGATGAAGTCAATCTCTCCTCCACTTTGAGCCAGGAGAGATTGACATGCATATTATTAATGTTGGCTCTCCGTGTACATTTAAGGGCCAGTTGTGCTGCTCTGTTCTGGGCCAACTGTAATTTACCTATGTCCCTCTTTGTCTGCACTTGACCATATGACTGGACAGTAGTCCAGGTGCCACAAAACTAGGGCCTGTAGGACTTGTGTTTGATAGTGATGTTAAGAAAGCATAGCATCGCTTTATTACGAACAGACCTCTCCCCATCTTAGCTACCGTTGCATCAATATGTTTTGACCATGACAGTTTACAATTCAGGGTTACACCAAGCAGTTTAGTCTCCTCAACTTGCTCAATTTCCACATAATTCATTACAAGATTTAGTTGAGGTTTAGGGTTCAGTGAATTATTTGTCCCAAAGACAATGCTTTTAGTTTTTGAAATATTAGGACTAACTTATTTCTTACCACCCATTCTGAAACTGACTGCAGCTCTTTAAGTGTTGCAGTGATTTCACTTGCTGTGGTAGCTGACATGTGTAGTGTTGAGTCATCAGCATACATAGACACACAGGCTTTACCCTGAACCAGTGGCAGGTCATTAGTAAAGATTGAAAAAAGTAAGGGGCCTAGACAGCTGCCTTGGGGAATGCCTGACTCTACCTGGACAATGTTTGAGGCTTCCATTAAAGAACACGCTCTGTGTTCTGTTAGACAGGTAACTCTGATCCACAATATAGCAGGGGATGTAAAGCCATAACAAAAAAATTTAGCAGCAGATTATGATCGATAATGTCAAGAGCTGCACTGAAGTCTAACAAAACAGCTCCCACAATCGTTGTATTATCAATTTCTCTCAGCCAATCATCAGCCATTTGTGTAAGTGATTACATGTTGAATGCCCTTCCCAATAAGTGTGCTGAAAATCTGTTGTTAATTTGTTTACTGTGAAATAGCATTGTATCTGGTCAAACACAATTTTTTCAAAAAGTTTACTAACGGTTGGTAACAGGCTGATTGGTTGGCTGTTTGAGCCAGTAAAAGGTGCTTTGCTATTCTTGGATAGCGGAATGACTTTTGCTTCCCTCCAGGCCTGAGGGCACACTCTTTCCTTTAGGCTTAGATTGAAGAGATTGCAAATTGGAGTGGCAATATCGTCCACTACCATCCTCAGTAATTTTCCATCCAAGTTGTCAGACCCCGGTGGCTTGTCATTGTTGATAGACAACAATACTTTTTTCACCTCTTCCACACTCACTTTACGGAATTCAAAATGACAATGTTTGTCTTTCAGAATTTTGTCAGTTATGCATGGATGTGTAGGTTCAGAATTTGTTGTTGGCATGTCATGCCTAACTTTGCTAATCTTGCCAATGATAAAATCATTAAAGTAGTTGGCAGTATCAGTGGGTTTGTGATGAATGAGCCATCTGATTCAATGAATGATGGAGCCGAGTTTGCCTTTTTGCCCAAAATGTTTGTTTCATTGTTCAGTTTCTTCTTCTTTGTGTTCAGTTTAGTCACATGATTTCTCAATTTACAGTACGTTTGCCAATCGGCTGTGCAACCAGACTTATTTGCCATTCCTATTGCCTCATCACTCTCAATTATACAATTTTTCAATTCCTCATCAATCGATGGGGATTTAACAGTTTTTAGAGTGATTTTCTTAATGGGTGCATGCTTATTAGTAACTGGAATGAGCAATTTCATAAACGTGTCAAGTGCAGCGTCTGGTTGCTCCTCATTACACACCACAGACCAGCAAATATTATTTACATAATCAAGATAAGAATCACTACAAAACGTATTGTATGACCTCTTATACACTATTTTAGGCTCAGCCTTTGGAACTTTGGTTTTCCTAGATATGCCTACTATATTATGATCACTACATCAAATGTATGTGGATACTGCTTTAGAGCCATTTTCTGCGGCCTTAGTAAAGATTTGATCAATACATGTGGATGATTTCATTCCTGTGCTATTTGTAAATACCCTGGTATGTTGACTGATAACCTGAACCAGGTTGCAGGCACTGGTTACAGTTTGAAGCTTTTTCTTGAGTAGGCAGCTTGATGAAAGCCAGTCAATATTTAGGTCACCCAGAAAATATACCTCTCTGTTGATATCACATACATTATCATGCATTTCACACATATTATCCAGATACTGACTTTTAGCACTTGGTGGTCTATAGCAGCTTCCCACAAGAATGGGCTTTTTTTGAGGCAGGTGAATCTGTTGTCGTATTACTTCAACAACATTTGACATGAGATCCTCTCTAAGCTTTACAGGAATATGACTGAATATATAAAACACAACACCACCCTCATTGGCATTTCTGTATTTTCCATAGATGTTACATTTACGCCATTTAGCAGACGCTCTTATCCAGAGCGACTTACAAATTGGTGCATTCAACTTATGATAGACATAAATATATTTTAAAATACATTTTCCTTTATTATTTTCCCCTAACCACCACCCCTCCCCTAATTGGACTAACCCAATGGACAACAACACTTAGGCTTCTACTTCCATTTTATGCATACTATATACATTTTACGGACACAGTATTTTACAATAGTTATCTTTTGTTTGTTTTTAATCCCATCCTTCAGCCACCCTCAACCCCTCCCATCTATCTCTGAAGACCATCCAGTTTTGATTTCTATTTTCCATATATTTTTAACTGTGCTGTTTCACAAAAGTTCTGAACCTTTCTATTCTCGTAGTTTCTACAGGTCTTCTTCTACAGGTATATTTTTAGCACTTTTCTGGGTTCTTGATTGTTTTTAATTGCTTTACTGGGAGGCTTATCAGAAGTAGACATGACAGTGATATTTATGTTTGAGCTGATAGTGCAGGGTTAGCTGCACACAGTGGACTTCCTACTAGGGCAAACTGCCTCAGTGTTAACAGTATAACTCAGGTTCATAGGCGCATGATTATTACATACAATAGCTGTAGGATTGACAGAAGTATTCAGGGGAGTTAGAGGGACATAGATTAGGTTACTTACATTGTGACTGCCAACGCCCCTGGGACAATGTACATTTGCAGCAGCACTACGACAACTCAGCGGCACAATGGTAGGGATTATCTGAGCAGGGCTTGGGTCACAGATAAATCATTGTCTCAACGCAGCCTTGAAATGCGCGGACAGGGTCCAGGAACCAAGATGATTTGGATGGACTCCGTTTCCAAAATGGTGTCAAAGTTATGCCAACAGAGCTACAGTAGTCTTTTAGCCAGGTGTGTAATGCCAGTAGCCTGCTGAATCTTTCACAGCCGCGGCCCAGAGATGGTACCGGGCCTGAAATTACTGGCCGTTTTTTGGAATCTTTCAGAGCTTGAATCAGTTCTTTAAAATACATTTTCAGCAGTTCCGAGCTAGTCCTAATGTCGTTTGACCCCACATGGACTATGACAGCATCAGCCCCCAGCAGCTGTCGTAGAACGATAGGAAGCAGTCTTATATCCTGTACTCGTGCTCCTGGGTAACACAGGGTTTTTGCCCCGGGAACCAAGATGTTTCTCACCATAGAGCTGCCAATGATTTACATTTTACATATTTAGCAGACGCTCTTATCCAGAGCGACTTACAGTTAGTGAGTGCATACATATTATATATATTTTTTTCATACTGGCCCCCCGCGGGAATCGAACCCACAACCCTGGCGTTGCAAACGCCATGCTCTACCAACATCCCTGCCTGCCATTTCCTCCCCTACCCTGGACGGCGCTGGGCCAATTGTGCGCCGCCCCCATGGGTCTCCCGGTCACGGCCAGCTACGACAGAGCCTGGATTCGAACCAGGATCTCTAGTGGCACAGCTAGCACTGCGATGCAGTGCCTTAGACCACTGCGCCACTCGGGAGACCCAATGATGACAGCTTGTGAAATGGCTGAGGAGGTCCGGCCGTTCTTTCGTCTCGAGTCGTTCAGAAGACCCCTCGAGGTTTATGGTGCAAGTCACTAAGCATGTTGTGGTTGCTATATAAATGTGTCTGAGGATGACTCTGGGGGGTGCTGGTCTGGACCATAGAGATATACAATATTATATATCTATGGTCTGGACTAAGCTTTTCTCAACATTAGCCTTTATCCCACGAAATCAGTTCGTTGTAGTGCACAGGTTATTTATCTCCTTGAGCTATGGGTGAAATTGATTTTTTTTAGGCAATGTATCCTCTCGGAATGTACACTGACAATTTGACCATTCTTTTAGCTGCAATATCTGTGTTCAATGTCATGATAAAGTGTCAAGTGTACACTGCAGTCTTTATCCCAATATGATGTAGCCCTCCCTGATGAGTTTGTGGAACATAGCGTCTCATCCCTAAGTCAATATGCTCTTATGGACCATAGAGTCTCATCCGCAAGTCAATGTTCTGTTAAATTTGTCTCTCCTTCCTTCACATGCTCAGGTGATTGACATCAAGGAGAAACTGAAGCTGTTCAAGAAGTTCTGGTCCAACCTGCCTGAGGACGTCTGCCAGCCACACAGGGTGACAGCAGGGAATGCCACCGATGATGACCAGTGTTGGAATGGGCACACAAAGGGCAGGTAAGACTGGACTACAGTAAGTGTTTGCACCCGAACACAGGCTGCTTACCCCGAACACTTGGGTAAACTAGCACTAAATTACTTCCACAATATGTCTGATCCCTGAATTAAGAACCATTCTGATTGTGTATTTTGCACTGGCCCAAATACGACAGCTAGCTATTGCAGAGCCTTGACATTTCTGGCTGTGGCATTGCAAAACAAGTGGAAGACAAACACTGCTATGAACTCCAAAGTCCTCAGAGGAGTTTGGAGATATAAAACCACCCGACCAAACTGAGTCTTAACAGATGCCTTCCCTGGAGAAGCCCTTTAAAGCTGAAATTCGCAGACTGTGGGCAACCCCAGGCCGCCTCACTTCTTCTGTTGTTTTTTCACTTTGAAGGAAAACATTGGGGTTGAGCCCTGAGCCGCCTTGGGCTGGCCTTCTGGACAAGGTGTGTCTTTGCACTAAATCATGCCCAATCGAATGACCCTGCTGGAGCATGGCTCCGGAGCTGGAGAGGAAGGGAAAGTCACTTGCAAGCTACAGCCGCCAGAAACAAACACACAGCAGACGAAGCCAATAAGCTATCTAACTTGTTTGCAGATAAACTGTCTTGGTAGCAGGGACAATGTTTTCAGAAAATGTTGACAGAATTACTTTTATGACTAACGTAGTAAAGTAACACGTTACTTTTTCAAATTGGGTAATATTATTACGGTTACTTTGTCAAAGAATCCGATCTCGACTTGTTTCCTCATTTTGTTCTCGAGCGGAGAAAGACTGTTTGGAGAAAGCTGCTGTCCATAGAAATGCATAGAGGGCACACCTCTGATCTTTGCCATTGATCGCTTCTGTGATGGCAAAGTCCATAGATGGCTCTCCCTCGTCTATTGGCAAGAGTGCCCTCTATTACATCTCTATGGGTCCTACATGCATTCTATACCAGAACTCACGGCTCGAGAGGAATATTTTCAATGAAAAGATACGAAATCTGCATATATGGCTAATTAAGCAGCCCAAACGATAGCACAGCACTTGTATACTAGCACAGGAAAGCAGCGCCACAGATGAAAGGAGAAACTAGTGATCAAACCTGTGTTTGTAAGTAGCATATGTTTGGTCGAGAGACTCGCCTTGTTCCCTCCAGCAGATTATGTAGATTTTTTTAATGAAAGTAATATAAGTAGTAATATAACGCGTTATTTTCCACACAAAGTTATTGTAAAGTAACACGTTACTTTTGTTAAATGTAACTTAACTAAAGTTACTAATCCCAACACTGCTAGGTAGGAATCAATGCCGTAAATAGGCAGGCAATGTGACATAGCTAACTATTTTGGTCGATTTAGCAAACAAATCATTATTGAATCACGGAGCATAACAGAAAATGCATACAGCATTTCTTACCTCTCTTTCAGTGTTGGGGTTTGCACAACCACAACTTGTACAGCCTCAGGTTCCCTCTAAATCAGACCGTCTCCACCAGTATCTCCCTGAAAAATAGATGTTTGTGTGATGTTACTGTACCGGATTTAATAGCTGATGCACTTTTTGGGGTGGTCCTGGGCCTAAAATGCTGTCGACCACCCAGCTAGCTAGCATTATCATCTACAAACCAAACCCACTAATGTTATCATGTCAACAATCTGCATATCAAGCTTTAGCTAGCTAGCTAATGTTAGCTAGTTGAAATAAAGGCATTTGGGCATCTTGTGGGGTTTATGCAGTGTAGCTACATGATGCAGCTATCGTTAGATTTGTTTGAGTACAAAACAGTCAGAATACAGAAGATGTTAGCTAGCTAAGTAGCCATGTTAGCTAGCTTGAACATTGAACACACTAAGGTTAGCAGCTAACTTAGCAAGCAGACTAAAAACACAATCCAACACTTACCTACCAGTCCATGAGAACAGTGGAAATGTCAGCTTCACACTTCCAACCTTTCAATGCTCGCCACCTTTCAAAATTAATTCCAATATTTATCTGGTTTTAGGATTGGTCATGAGCAGTCTTTTTCTCGAATTTTTTTCTCTTTTGGGGTCGATTCAGATCCAAGAACCAAGGATGATGCATCTTTAATGTTGGTTTTAATTTGCTTTGATGTCTTTTTATAACCAGCATGATGCCTCGTTGCTCGAATTAATTGCATTAGCAGCCAAAATGTTTGAAAACTGAAGTTAAATTCTGCTTTGTCCCAAAAGGGGAGACTAATAAACTACTGTTATTCCAAAGTCATAATACAACTTTTACTTTTATGTGCATATTACTTAGTGACCTTGGGACTATAAGGTTCTATCTTCGCAAATCATAGTTCTGAGATATTGAGCATCAAAGTTTTCACATCCCAGATCTCTGAACTGTTTTGTAGTGAATTCTTATTTCATAACCCATTAACGTTCTCACCTTAAAGGTACCTAAAGTGCATAGTATCAAACTCCTGAGATGTTTGTAAATCCGTTTTTTTAGGGGGGTGCAATCGCAGATAGAACCTTATGGCTCTGAAATGTCAATCTGTGTTCAGCCATAAGGTTCTTTCTGACAATTGTTCCGTTTTTAAGACTACTGTAGCTATTTGAATACATAACTGATAGAATAACACTATTTTACCAAGATAGAGTCAGAACACATCATCAAATACATTAAGACATGTATTATGATCATCAGACAAATTACTTTAATCACTGAACAACGATGTGACAACATTTACTTTATGATTTCTGACAGCGTTGTTTTTTTTTTGCTTGCCTGCCGTTACTGCTGCCTAGACTAGCCTAGACCATACTTAGAGGGACATGGCAAAGACGTGTTCGGATTGGTCCGTTGGTATTTGTTCAGGCTTGTAATTGGATTGCAAATAGAACTTTATAGTGCCAAGTTCAAATGGGTTTATGCAGATAGAATTTTCTAGTTTTTCATTTGTTTCACTTAAAATGTTATTTTACGAAAATCGAACTTCACAGACATATGAAGAACCATCTAAAGATAAATTATATGTGACTAACTTATTTTTGACAAAAAAATCAGATATAACCTTATAGTCCCAAGGACTCAACTTGCTGGGTGACTTCACTTGAGTAATATTAATAGCATTGCTCATTTCTGTTTCTCATTCAGTTATTATGAATGTAATATTTAGTTGTGTCCTGTGTGTATGATAATTACATAGAGGTTGCATTTATCCCAGCGTTCTTGAATTGTGAATTGTGATCGCTTCCCTGTCTTTCTTGATATGCCAGGCTGTCAAGCTGCAGAAACATACTTCCCCTACTGGTTTTCCTACGGGTTTGAACACCCAACGGTTGAGATAGAAACATAACTGAAGATGCTGAAGGCACTGTTACCATGTAAACAAGCATCAGTTTTGTTGCCTGACCAATATAACCTGTGATTGGTTGTGTGGGTGTTCCAAATAGGTTGTCAGACAGATGTTTAGAAAGCATATTATGTTGTTGTTGTTTTGCATTAGTAAAATGGTAGGAAAACAGATTTTTGTAACAGCTCATGTCTTGTTTGAGAGTTTAGGTTTTTATCAGGTTTTAATTCAAATATGATATACAAACAGTATACCTCTTGGTGTGTTGTTATCCAAAGCTGTCCGACTGTTTCAAAGCAGACAGGTGGATGTGGGGAAACAAAGGTATTGTTGGGTGATGAAGGATAGCATTGCACAGCCTTGGCTTGGTGGCAGTGGCGACTGAGTTGTGAAATTAACAGGAAGTGACCCCCGTAACAATTTCCCTGGAGAAATATCTTCAAAGTATGTCAACACACCCCGAGACGAGTGCCTTTCAAGAGCTCACTCTACTCACCCTGGTCACCCCTGACAGACCTGTGCTATTCCTTCCAGCCTGTCAGAAGGAGAGCAGAGGACAAAAACAACGCTGTAGAGAGTGACGTGGCGGGTTCAGCCTTTGTCTTTGTCCTGTCTTATCCAACTGGAGGGTGCAGAGCCCACAGCCTCTGTTCCGGAGAATTCTGTTTGACAGACACAGCATGCAGGGGAGGCCAGACCAGACTATAATGAGGCTGTCGAGTGTCATTAACTGCTCTGTCATTACTCTCATTCACCCCAAGTCTCTGTGTTGCTCCAATGTTCCACATGAAATGTTCTACTAATTGCCTAACAAATTGGTGTTTGCCTCAGTGTGCATAAGATATGATTTCTTTAAAAAAACTGTTGCATGGGTAACTATGGAAACTCTTTTTAATATGCATGAAATGAAAAGGCATGGTTTTTGTCTGGCCTGACAGGTATTTCCCAGAGGTTCTGAAAGATGGATTGACGAATCAGGTGAATAACCCTGAGGTGGGCGTGGACATCACCAGGCCGGACACGTTCATTCGCCAGCAGATCATGGCTCTGAGAGTGATGACAAACAAGTTAAAAAATGCCTACAATGGTAATGATATCTACTTTCAAGACTCAAGTAAGTAACACTCCACAGTGTTTTAAAAAAAAAAAAAAAAAAATATATATATATATATATATATATATATATATACTGTATATATATTATATTGTTAGAAAAGTAGTCATGCATTGTTTCATAGTATTGAAAAAAAAAAAAAAAAAAAAGGATTTTGTAGTTAAACTTTTTCATGTTTAAACACTGCACTAATTTCTTCTGTATTCATGTTTTCACTTTAACGTTGAAAGTCTGTATTTTATATCAATAGGCCTCTCTTCGTTAGTTCCTCTCTCTGTTAGTTCCTCTCTTTGTTAGTTCCTCTCTCTGTTAGTTCCTCTCTTTGTTAGTTCCTCTCTCTGTTAGTTCCTCTCTTTGTTAGCTCCTCTCTCTGTCAGGTCCTCTCTCTGTCGGTTCTTCTCTCTGTCAGTTCCTCTCTGTTAGTTCCTCTTTCTGTCAGTTCCTCTCTGTCAGTTCATCTTTGTCAGTTCTCCTCTCTCTGTCAGTTCCTATTTCTGTTAGTTCCTCTCTCTTAGTTCCTCTTTGTGTCAGTTCCTCTCTCTGTCAGTTCCTCTCTCTGTCAGTTCTTCTTTCTGTTCGTTCATTTCTCTGTTAGTTAATCTCTCTGTTTGTTCCTCTCTCTGTCAGTTCCTCTCTCTCTGTCAGTTCCTCTCTCTGTCAGTTCCTCTCTGTCAGTTCTCCTCTCTCTGTCAGTTCTTCTTTTTGTTCGTTCCTCTTTCTGTTAGTTCCTCTCTCTGTCAGTTCCTCTCTCTGTCAGTTCCTCTCTCTGTCAGTTCCTCTCTCTGTCAGTTCCTCTCTCTGTTAGTTCTTCTTTCTGTTAGTTCCTCTCTCTGTCTGTTCCTCTCTCTGTATATCTATGGACAGCTCATTGTGCTCTGTGTCTTCTTGTGCTGTTGTCCAGGCGATGAGGGCAGTGGCTCAGGCAGTGGCAGTGGCTGCACGGAGGCCTGCGTCACTGAGTTTGACTTTTCCAGCACCGAGGCTCCGGTAGTGGGAGCAGACCGGAGCGGGAGTGGCCCGGTGGAGGATTCAGCAGCAGCCACACACCCTGCCCCCTCAGCAGCCCTGCCAGCCAGCCTGGCCCTCTCAGCCCTGGCACTGCACAGGCTATGGAGATAATGCTGATGGAACTCACCCAACGTGGACAGTAGGGTCTCTGTTTACGCTGTGTTTTTCTACCCAAGCAGACTGGATCTACAGTCAAGCAGACAGTATTCAGGCAGCCTTGGCCTTTCGGATAGATAGAGGGGTCTACTCTGCTCTGGAAACAGCAGTCATGCATCCTGGTTCCCCTTTCCTCCTCCCAAAGCGTGTCTGGTTGTTGATTCCATCCTTAGGCAGGACTTCACATGACTGCCGTCACTCCAAGATAGAAACAGATGCTCTCCTGTTAAAAATTGTTCAAGAAGCTCTAAATAATTACTTTTGTCTGGCATAAGGCAGATGTTATTAGGTCTCCATGAGAAAAAGCCCTTGCACTTTTGGTCCTTTTTTATTTATTTTTTCAACGCTATAGAAGGTTATTATGTTTTATCACTGTGAGAATGTGGAGAGGTTGTGCCTAGAGGTGACCAGGACTCACAACTAGAACATGTTTACTATGGTATACTGTTTACTGTTATACCATATTATACTATGAGGTGATCTCAGTTGGCAGGTATTTTACTTGTTGACAGGTCAGAAGTGCATTTCTTCATTCATATAACAAACCTCAGACAACCCCAAAATCATATAAAAACTTTGAAACAGTACGGCGGTCACAATAATTGTTGATGTCTACCATGGTTCCTCTCCTTCAAATATTATTGATTACATCTACATTGACAGTAAATGATACAGATGAAACATGTTTGTTGTTAATGTTAATCAGGTAAAGTAAGATATTGTATTACCAGTGTTGGGGAAGCTAATCTGAAAATATAGTTTACCAAGCTACCAATTACTTCAAACTGGAAGAAGTTAAGCTACACTAAAGCTACCCTAATAATAATAAAGCTACTAATACAACAACAACAAAAAATATGTATATACACACACATATATATATATATATATATATATATGGTACATTAATATACACTACCGTTCAAAAGTTTGGGGTCACTTAGAAATGTCCCTGTTTTCCATGAAAACATACATGAAATGAGTTTGAATAGGAAATATAGCAAAATGAATAGGAAATGTAGTCATTGACAAGGTTAGAAATAATGATTTTTAATTGAAATAATAATCCTCCATTTGCAGCAATTACAGCCTTGCAGACCTTTGGCATTCTAGTTGTCAATTTGTTGAGGTAATCTGAAGAGATTTCACCCCTTGCTTCCTGAAGCACCTCCCACAAGTTGGATTGGCTTGATGGGCACTTCTTACGTACCATACGGTCAAGCTGCTCCCACAACAGCTCAATAGGGTTGAGATCCGGTGACTGTGCTGGTCACTCCATTATAGACAGAATACCAGCTGACTGCTTCTTCCCTAAATAGTTCTTGCATAGTTTGGAGCTGTGCTTTGGGTCATTGTCCTGTTGTAGGAGGAAATTGGCTACAATCAAGCGCCGTCCACAGGGTATGGCATGGCGTTGCAAAATGGAGTGATAGCCTTCCTTCTTCAAGATCCCTTTTACCCTGTACAAATCTCCCACTTTACCACCACCAAAGCACCCCCAGACCATCACATTGCCTCCACCATGCTTGACAGATGGCATCAAACACTCATCCAGCATCTTTTCATTTGGTCTGTGTCTCACAAATGTTCTTCTTTTTGATCCGAACACCTCAATCTTCGATTCGTCTGTCCATAACACTTTTTTCCAATCTTCCTCTGTCCAGTGTCTGTGTTCTTTTGTCCATCTTAATCTTTTATTTTTATTGGTCAGTCTGAGATATGGCTTTTTCTTTGCAACTCTGCCTAGAAGGTCAGCATCCGGAGTCGCCTCTTCACTGTTGACGTTGAGACTGGTGTTTTGCGGGTACTATTTAATGGAGCTGCCAGTTGAGGACCTGTGAGGCGTCTGTTTCTCAAACTAGACACTCTAATATATTTGTCCTCATGCTCAGTTGTGCACCGTGGCCTCCCACTCCTCTTTCTATTCTGGTTAGACAGTTTGTGCTGTTCTGTGAAGGGAGTAGTACACAGCGTTGTACGAGATCTTCAATTTTCTTGGCAATTTCTCGCATGGAATAGCCTTCATTTCTCAGAACAAGAATAGACTGACGAGTTTCAGAAGAAAGTTATTTGTTTCTGGCCATTTTGATTCTGTAATCGAACCCACAATTGCTGATGCTCCAGATACTCAACTAGTCTCAAGAAGGCCAGTTGTATTGCTTCTTTAATCAGCACAGCTGAAAAGGGTTTTCTAATGATCAATTAGCCTTTTAAAATGATAAACTCGGATTATTAAACATGACGTGCCATTGGAACACAGGACTGATGGTTGCTGATAATGGGCCTCTGTACGCCTATGTAGACATTCCATTAAAAATCAGCCGTTTCAAGCCACAATAGACATTTACAACATTAACAATGTCTACACTGTATTTCTGATCAATTTGATGTTATTTTCATGGACAAAAAAAATGCTTTTCTTTCAAAAACAAGGACATTTCTTAGTGAGGCCAAACTTTTGAACGGTAGTGTATATATATTTTTTGTATTAGGTTTATTATTATTAGGGTAGCTTTAGTGTAGCTTAACTTCTTCCAGTTTGATAAAGCTAATAATACAATATATATATATATATATATATATATATATATATATATATATACACTACCAGTCAAAAGTTTGGACACACCTACTCGTTCAAGGGTTTTTCTTTATTTTTACTATTTTCTACATTGTAGAATAATAGCGAAGACATCAAAACTATAAAATAGCACATACGGAATCATGTAGTAACCAAAAAAGTGTTAAGCAAATCAAATTATATTTGTATATTTGAGAGTCTTCAAATAGCCACCCTTTTCCTTGATGACAACTTTGCACACTCTTGGCATTCTCTCAACCAGCGTCATGAGGTAGTCACCAGGAATGCATTTCAATTAACAGGTGTGCCTTCTTAAAAGTTAATTTGTGGAATTTCTTTCCTTCTTCATGCGTTTGAGCCAATCAGTTGTGTTGTGACAAGGTAGGGGGGTATACAGAAGATAGCCCTATTTGGTAAAAGACCAAGTCCATATTATGGCAAGTACAGCTCAAACAAGCAAAGAGAAACAACAGTCCATCATTACTTTAAGACATGAAGGTCAGTCAATCTGGAAAGTTTCTTCAAGTGCAGTCGCAAAAACCATCAAGTGCTATGATGAAACTGGCTCTCATGAGGACCACCACAGGAAAGGAAGACCCAGAGTTACCTCTGCTGCAGAGGATAAGTTCATTAGAGTTACCAGCCTCAGAAGTTGCAGGCCAAATAAATCCTTCACAGAGTTCAAGTAACAGACACATCTCAACATCAACTGTTCAGAGGAGACTCTGTGAATGAGGCCTCCATGGTCGAATTGCTTCAAAGAAACCACTACTAAAGGACACCAATAATAAGAAGAGACTTGCTTGGGCCAAGAAACACGAGCAATGGACATTAGACCGGTGGAAATCTGTCCTTTGGTCTGATGAGTCTAAATTGGAGATATTTGGTTCCAACCGCCGTGTCTTTGTGAGACTCCGAGTAGGTGAACGGATTATCTCTGCATGTGTGGTTCCCACCGTGAAGCATGGTAGGTGTGATGGTGTGGGGGTGCTTTTCTGGTGACACTGTCAGTGATTTATTTAGAATTCAAGACACACTTAACCAGCATGGCTACCACAGCATTCTGCAGCGATATGCCATCCCATCTGGTTTGCGCTTAGTGGGACTATAATTTGTTTTTCAACAGGACAATGACCCAATACACCTCTGGTGATGGAGTGCTGCATCAGATGACCTGGCCTCCACAATCCCCCGACCTCAACCCAATTGAGATGGTTTGGGATGAGTTGGACCGCAGAGGGAAGGAAAAGCAGTCAACAAGTGCTCAGCATATGTGGGAACTCCTTCAAGACTGTTGGAAAAGCATTCCAGGTGAAGCTGATTGAGAGAATGCCAAGAGTGTGCAAAGCTGTCGTCAAGGCAAAGGGTGGCTATTTGAAGAATCTCAAATATAAAAATATAATTTGATTTGCTTAACACTTTTTTGGTTACTACATGATTCTGTATGTGCTATTTTATAGTTTTGATGTCTTCGCTATTATTCTACAATGTAGAAAATAGTAAAAAATAAAGAAAAACCCTTGAACGAGTAGGTGTGTCCAAACTTTTGACTGGTTCTGTATATACTGTATATATTTAACTAAAGTTACTACAGTTAACTAAAGTTCACTACATCCAAACTACTTCTTGAAAAATGAATGATCATATGTCAATCTGAAATGTCATAGACTACAAATTGCAACTTTGGGGTAAAATGTTATTAAAATGTAATTTAGCCTATTAAACACAACTATGTTTCAAGTGAGAATTAGGCAGGTCTGGTGCAGAAAAAGAAAGGACATTCTGGCCTACTTCATCCATATTTTGCATAAAGAGTCATCTGTAATTCAAGTAGTTATTTACACCACTACATGGCAAAACTGAAAACACTATCACGTTTTGAATGTAGTTCAACGACCACCAAGCTACTGCAAAATGTAGTTAAATTATTAGTTGAACTACATGTAGTTCACTACTCTCCAACACTGTGTATTACTCATATCTAATATGAGTTTCTACCATTTACTGCATTCTGTTGTTTTGAGTGCAGATGTTATCATACCACAAATAACCTCATCAGAAGTATTGCTTTATGTTCTATGGTGATATCCACTATGTCTTTTCTAATAATTGGAAATAAGAAGAGAATGCCCAAACGTGCAAAGTATCGGCCTGCATTTATTGGTGGAAGGTTATTGAAGGTTTACATTAATTTTTTTCCCTTTTAATTGTCACTATTTTTTATATCCTGAGATATGAACCTTTTACCTGATAACTCAGGATTGATATGTTTTTAATGATGTTTTTAATGTTAATTCAACTTTTTTTAACTGCACATGCTTATCTTCATAAGCATACTGTATGTTAATCTGCCTTGCAAAGGGTTTTCATTACC